TTATCTTTCAAATGACACCAATATTGAGTATACAAAAATAAAAAATAATTTAACATTTCAAAAACATCTATTTTTTAAAAAATTATATAACTTTTTTCAAATTAAAGGAAAGCTATACGAGTATGATACGGTATTATCTATAAATAATACACCTCATGTTACGTTTTTTAGGTAGATTACACCTCATGTTACGTTTTTTTAGACAACGTCCTAAAGTTGGGTAATTTAAAAAATTAATCCCAGTTTTATTTTAAAGTGTTATAACTTTTTCATTTGTACTATGATGGTTACAAAAAAAAATATCATATTTTATAATTTTTTTATTATCTTTCATATGAGACAAATATTAAATATATAAAAATAAAAAAATAATTTAACAGTTTTTATATATTTATTTTGAAAAATAATTTAACACTTTAAGAAATATATCTATTTTTTAAAAATAAAAATAATTTAGCACTTTGAAAATTATTTTGTATTTTTATATATTCAATATCGGTGTCATATGAAAGATTGTAAAAGTTATGAAATTGATATATTTAACCACTGTAGTACAAGTAAAAAAGTTATAGGACACATATATAATATACGAAGTATATCTATATCTATATCTATATATCATACATTTCAAAGATACAATTATGAAAAGTTTTATCATGTGTCATGCTCTAAGCAACTCCCTCATCATATATGTTCTAAAATTTAGATATAATAATTTAAAGCCCCTAAAAACTAGATAAGATTATTACTTCGTACGATATTACTACAAAGGCTCTTTTTTTTTTTTACTGTAAAAGGGCATTACAATTTAGAACTCCTTATTCGTAGATTATTACAATTAGAATTCCTAATTCTCAAAAACTTATTCGTAGATTACAATTCGGATTCCTAAAAATTAAGAATCCATGTTTGATTACAATTAAACAAAATTAGAATTCTTTAAAAGTCACAACTAATGTAAAGCTTTCTAAAATGTCAACAACTACCTATTATTTATAAATAAAGAAAAATTTATTAATTAAATAAAGAAAAACGTATGAAAATAGCTAAAATGATCCTTGACAATAACTTCAACTAATAGAAAAATTTGACTAAAAAGTTTGATAAGTCAAAAATTAGAGTCATCAAACGGGCTCAATTGCAATTAGGAAAGCTTCACTAAAACTTTCCAATTGCACTCAAAGTGCACTTTCTATAAAACCATGTTCTTATATAAGTGCAATGGCCAATTTTTCACATTTGAACAACGTAATAAAGTAAGAATAGTATAATGGTAAAATGGCGACGGCCGGACAGAGCCCTCTATATAAGGGGTGATTTGCACTTTTTAAGTTAGTTCGAGAGTCTATTTGATTATTTAGCCTTAAAAGTAAAACACCTACAACATCGCAGTTATCATCAAGGAGCCCCATCATATTATATAATCATCACAATTATTTCGTAAAACACAGTCATATAAACATATTTAATTATTGTGTAAGTAATCGTGCCGTAAGTAATCGGGACATAAGTAGTATGTAATTAATAAAACTTTTCGAGAGCTGAAATCCTCGGCCAAAATATATCAAAATTATATTAATATATACACAAATAAAAAATAACTTTTACTTTCATAAATGAGATAAAAATCGATTCCAATTATAAATATCCTTAATTAGAAAGGTGAACATAATATTGAGATATCATTCAGGATAATGTGTATTTACCCATTTTTAACACATGCAGTCTTGCTGTTTTAATTCTTTCACTTTTAGAAATGTGTATTTTAATATTGTAAAAAAAATCTTTCACTTTCATTTAATGATGTTTCACCTTTTTTCCCATTTTACGAATTTATCCTTTGAAAAGTGAGAGATAATATTTGGAGCATTCTTTGTAATGCATATATGGTGTGATATTATGATTAATAAAAAGCTACTATAAATTAAGTTATGATATTATGATATTATGATATACACGTATTCAAATATAGACCACGTACCGTTTTGAAAATCTTATTTTTAATGACGATAAAAAAATCTTACTTTAAATATTTTTTTTTCAATTTAAAAATGTATGAATATCAATAATTTTATTTTGAAAGTATTTTCTTTAGATATTTGGTAAAAAAGATGCATATATATATATATATATATATATATGGATCAAAATATGTCATTATATTCTATATTTCTAATTAAGATAATTGAGTACATATGTATAATGTCTATATAATTGATATGTTACTCACATGTTAACTTGCTTTTTTTGTTATAGACTTATACGGAGTATATAGTATGATCCATACGATGATTTATGAAAATTTGAGTTTCAAGTATAGTGATATTATTAAAGTTTTATGGGTGCAATTTAAATATCGAAAAATCAATACCACAGGTTATGCAATTGTATTTTAGCTCAATAATCTTATTAAGAAACATTAACTGAACTCATTGCAACATTAACTTATAGAGTTAAATGAACTCATTGCATAAATTCATATTCATATTCATGACTTAAAAAATAGTTTTTAAAAGTATTCATGAGTAAACTTTTTTATGTCACCAAAAAAAATTAGATGATGACACATGATTTGGTACTAACATTGAAATTTGTTGGATCGGTTCATTCTGCTTAAATTTATGATGTTCTAGCTGAAGTGGCTGAATTGGCTGATTCTACTGATTTAAGACAAAAAAATAATTTTATTATTATTTATAAATAAAGAAAAAATACTTCATATGAAAATAGTTGAAACGATCCTTTACAATAACTTCAACTAATACAACCAGAAAAGTAATTTTAACCTTACTTTGATGAAAAAGTTAACTAATAAGTTTGATAAGTCAAAAAACAGAGTCATCAAACGAGCTCAATTGCAATTGGGAAGGCTTCTCCGATCCAAAACTTTCCAATTGCACTCAAAGTGCACTTTCTAAAAAAAAATCATGTTCTTAAAAAAGTGCAACAGTCAATTTTTCACATTTGAAGTGCATAATAAAGTAAGAGTAGTATAAGGATAACTTTATAGATAGTATTAAAAATGTATAAAAAATGTACCAAACTTTGAGGGATTGCTAAGTATAGTATTTGGGGACTAAGGTAGTACATAATTTTAACTCTAAGTGCACATTCTCAAACTTTTTGAGTGTCAAGAAACTTAAAAGAATTCTCGAAACAATTATATAAATTAGAATCTATGAACCACCAAACATCATTTTTAGAGATACAACAACAACATTTAAGTCTTAGTCCCAAAAGATATTGGGGTTGGCTAACATGAATCAATACATGATATCACCACCAAAAGGAAAAGAAAGAACATAAAGATAAAAAGATAAGCTATTACAAAAAGATAATATAAAAAGAGATGAATATACCTAAAAGTGATAAAATAAAAAGGATAAAAATAATGTTTATATATATAAGGATAAAAGAATAAAAAACAAGAAGAAGAAAAAGATGAGGGGAAATAATAATACGAGATCACTACTCCACGCGAATACCCGCCTTCCACTTTGCTCTCTCTAAAGACATACCATCATCCAACCCAAGAAGTAGCATATCACTTCGGACTCCCCTAACCCACGCCCGTTTGGGTCTTCCTCTCCATCTCTTCCCTGCCTCTTCTTCACTCATCTCAACATGCCTGACAGATGCATCACTCGGTCTTCTATGCACATGCCCAAACATCATTTTTGGAGATATAAAAATTAAATGAAAATATTCTTTGTTAAAAATACTTTTATAAAAGTACAAAATTTATATCTTCTAGAATATTATTCTAATTAAAATTATGTTCCAAAATTTAAGAGATGACTATGTATTTTGAGACAGATGTAGTACCTAATTTTAACTCAAAAATCATGTCCTCAAAAAAATACGTCATTCGTTCTTAAATAAGTGCAATGGCCAATTTCTCACATTTGACGTGCGCAATAAATTAATGGTAGTTTAAGAGTAACTTGATATTAAAAACTTACCAAATATAGATTTGTGAAGTTTATTTTGGACTTGCCCAAAAGGAAAGTGTACGTGAAGTTTATTTGGGACCAGAGGTCGGATTATTTTTTTTTAAAAAAATTTATTACTACGTAATACATTAATAAATAAAGCGTTATCAAAGTAAAAATATGTTAATAGTGTAAAATTCAACATTTTCCACTTATTTAAAAATGGAGAAAGTATACAAAACTTCTAAAAAACAAAATTGATGTAAACTCAAAGGTGTACCTCCCAAACTATGTCATATCAATTAGTGAAATCAAATTCAGATCAAAACAATGATGTGGATATATCCATCTCAAAGGCTATGCTCCAATTCATAGTATTATATATGCAAAACACAAGTTCTCAACTCTATTTATTAGAAATTGTATATTCATATCCACTAAAAATATGATTACAATATGAACATAAATAAATGCATTTGATGTTCAAAATTATTTTGATATATAGATTATACTCTACATATTGTAAGCATACGAACTATAGGTCTAAGCAGAAATTGTAGTTTTGAGAGACTCTTTGTTCGTTTGTTACAATTGTACGACCAATATGTGGTATGAATAGCGAGTTAACAAAGTTTCAAAATCAAATAATATTGAATTCCCACTACCAATATAAAAAACGTTTCGAGATCAAATGCCTCAAGAGTAACTCTTCATATCTTCATACCAATGAGTGGTATGAAGAGCGAGTGAACAAAGTTTCAAGATCAAACAATTCAAAATTGAATTCTCATTGTGTTGCATGAAAGGTAAAGATCAACTTCCGTTTTTACAAAGGCCTCAAGAGTTACTGGTTATACTAATGAACGAGAATAAACCTAGAAACTCTCATTGCAAAGGTATATAATACCATGTTCTCATTCAAAATTCACACGTACTTTTGTAATACTGCATCTCCTGATTTCAATGATTCATGTTACTACACATGAGTTCATATGGTGCTTCATAATCAACGTATTAAATACCTACATAATCATCTTTAGGGACATACAATACCGAGGATATGTTTATATAATTAGTACAAAAATAAGACATTCTCAACAAATAAAAATATGTATTATCAATATTATAATTGACTAGATACACGATTTTCCATTTGTTATAATAACCCAAAAAAACATGCTAAAACTCAAACACAAAATCATTTTATCCCGTGCACGGCACGGGTAACGATACTAGTTTAGTAATATTGAAGACAAAAGCCTGATTTTAATGTAGGGTCTAAACTACAAATCAATCACCCTCTATGTAAAACGAATTAAAACCATCTAAAACCCACCAATTATGAAAAAAAATATAGGATCATTCTATCGGGTCAAATTGGACGGGTGTGTACTAAATCAGCCGTAGGCAGCCCTGCGGAAGGGGTTCCTCACAATGGATTTGTAATCGGAGGAGTACCCGCTACTGATCACTGGGTCGTCTTCTTCGCATGGATCTGATGGAAGGGCCGGGAAAGAAAGCCGTTTCTTGGCCGAAGAATTACTCTCTCTATCCGGTGTCAAACAGGGCCTCTGCTGCCTCGGCGATTGGGATCGGGCCATGGCCGATGCCGTGGCCGCCATGTAATTCGGCCGCCGACCCGTCGGCGTCCGGCTTCCAATCGCCCGGTGGAAGTAGCTCGAGAGAGAGCTCGGCGTTTCCGGCGTCGGATGGTGGTTCCTCTCGTGATATTCACTATTGCATTGCGGTGGCGGCGGCGGGCTGAGCGAGTGGACGGAGATGGGTTTGATGTTGCAGGCAGGTGTGCGGGGAGAATGGACGGCGTAGGGACGTGCGGTGTCCATTTCGACGGTCCTGATTTGATCAAACGAAGCTCTTCTTATGCTTGCATATCCCTTGCTCACTGTCCTGTCGCTATTTGCCTCATCTTCATCGCTTCTTGCGTCTTCTTTGTCCTTACTTGAGCTCCACATCTAATAATTAAGGCAATTTGGCATTATTTAATTTATCTTTTTCTGTTTCAAAACAAAAACTTTGTTTACTCTATTTCCCAAAATATTATTCACATACTTATATAAGGCTAATCGCAACTCAATTCTGTCAATAAATCAGATTTCACATTAGTTTATACGTTTTCATTCAGACAATTCATTTTTTAGTGTAAACCATCACCTTCATTTTATTATTATACATCAATTTTTTTGAGTAATTATGATTAAAAAATCAAATAGTTTGATGCAAAAATAAATAAACTTGGAGTTTGATTTTGTTGTTGTTAATTTATACCTATTTTTGAGAGAGAGAAAAATGAAAGATGTAAAACATTATTTTAACAATGAGATCTAAATTTTAGGGTTTGGATCTAGGATGTTTTTACTTGGACTGTAATTTGCTGGTCTGGTCTGGTCTGATCTGGTCTGGTCTGAACTGGTCTGGTCTGGTCTGGTCTGGTAAGGTCTGGTTTCTTTGTATTTTTATAACTATCCAAGTCTGGTCTGGTCTGGTCTGGTCTGAACTGGTCTGGTCTGGTCTGAACTGGTCTGGTCTGGTCTGGTCTGGTCTGGGGCAAATTACAGTCCAAGTAAAAACATCCTTACTTAACAAACTTTTTGCACAAAACATCTCCAACCGATGAGTTTTTTCCAACAATAATGCTAAATAAAAAACTATTTCTCAAAATAGGGTTTGATTAAAAATATTTCCCGGAATACTGCTTCCTAAACCCCAGTTAAAAGAACCGCCACTTGAAGTGGCGGCTTATAGGAAAATAGGTATAAATAGTTTTTTTTTATAGGAAAATAGGTATCGCACGTAGAAGGAAGCCAAAACAACCAACGCACGTACTGACGTACTAACATGAGACATGGCCCACAAAAATATAAATCCCATTTTTATTTAAAAGTGATATAACTTCTTTACTTTTACTCAGATCATTACAAAAAATACACCAAAACTCATAACTTTTTATTATATTTCATATGACACCAATATCGAATATATAAAAATTTAAACAAATTAACACTTTAAAAAAATCTTTTTTATAAGAATTAATTACATTTTTATGAAAAAGCCATTTTTCTAAATGTTGACATCTTTTTTATGTGTACTAAATATATCAAAATTCATAACTATTTATTATATTTCATATGACACCAATTTTGAATTTATAAAGTTAAAAAAATTAATTATACGTAGTATAAATTTATGCGGTTTAGAATAAATTATATCATGCACACAAATAATCAGCAGTGATAGATTAAAATAAGGATGTTTTCTTTTGGACTATAATTTGCTGGTCTAGTCTGCTCTGTTTAAGTCTGATCTGATAAACATATCATCTTTGTGTATTTTATAACTGTTTAAGTCCAATCTGGTCTGGTTTGATCTGGTTAGTTTAAATTTGGTATGGTCTAAACTAGTCTGGTCTAATTTTGTCTGGAACTGAAAACAGTCAAAATGAAAACATCCTAAAACTAAATAAGAAATAAAACAATAAATAAAAGTGATGAAGTTTATGTAGTTTTATTCTAAACTACTACGTATCACTCTAAATAAAATGTGTGTATCGTAAAAAATGATTCCAGACTGCACAAATTAAAAAACTGTTTTTTGATGTTTTAAATATTCAAAATTAATGTCTCATGAAAGATAACAAAAAATTATGAGTTTTAATATATTTTTTGTTACAATCTGAGTACAAAAAAGATATTAAAGTGTTAAATTATTTTTTTATTTTTATATATTCGATATTGGTGTCATATGAAAGATAATAAAAAGTTATGAATTTTGATATATTTTTTGTAATGATCAGAGTACAAATAAAAAAGTTATATCACTTTTAAATAAAAATGGGATTTTTATTTTGTGGGTCATATCTCATGTTAGCACGTGCATTGGTTGTTTTGGCTTCCTTCTACGTGTGATACCTATTTTTCCTATGCCGCCACTGGCGGTTCTTTTAACTGGGGTTTAGGGGAGCAGTATTTTGGGAAATATTTTTAACCAAACCCTATTTTGAGAAATATTTTTTATTTAACATCATTGTTGGAAAAAACTCCCAACCGATGAACTTTATGTTTTTTTATTTTTAAATTATATATATATATATATATATATATATAATAATAATAATAATAGTGTCATATAAAATGTCTGAATTCTGATATATATTTTTTTATAAAAAATGGAATCAAAATAAAAATGTTATAACAAATTATAGAAATTTGGGAATTTCTTTTCATGGCCCCCACACTTATGAAATGTTGCTAGGGCAGCATCAAGCCATCAACTACCTTCTCTTCCTGAATTCTCTATGAATGATACCCCTCCATGGGTGCTAATGTGCTATCGAACCAATTTGGCACTCACAAATATTGCAGCATATAAAGGGGTGAAAACATCAAAATTGGTTTTTCATGCTTGGGTTTGCAGACAGCCTAATAGAGAAAGTTGTTTGTACATGTCATGATGTACAAAACATTTTACAAGCCGATCAAATTGTCTATGCACAGACCATTGTTTTTCACTTAGTGAAGAGAATCATTTTTTGCACTGACAATTTTCCTCAGACAATCGTTTTTTGTCTGTGCCTCAGACAATTTTTTTATTGGTGAGAAAAACAATTTTCTTTACAAAATGAAAAAATGTGTGCGCACACATAATTTGACAGACGTGTAAAATATTGTGTACAACTTGACGTGTAAGCGAAGCATGATTGTATCTAATAGCATGTGTTAGTGTGTTACACATTACAATTATTCGAACCCTAGTGACTTTAACATGGCATTTTGCACATGGTATGAAAGATTCAGATGGAAAAAACTGGACTATTTATTGATTAGAGAATAAGATTCACATATGATCAAAGCACGATTATGGGACAAAATGGCAAAAACTATCTACCTAAATTGAATATGGTTGGACCACACTTGAAAAAGAAAAAGCAAGTGGCAGGGCTAATTCGTACCTGATGAGAGTAGTTATAGGCAAGCACCCTTTCACGTTGTAAAGCTGAAGCTCCAAGATCTGTTCTTGACTGCATTGAAAAACATAATCCAACATGTTCAAAATGTGAGTAAAATCTTTCTAAACCAAGCTTACCGCACACGACAAGGTCTCGAGAAAATGCAAATGAACTGGGAAGGTACTCACAGTGGATCTTCTGTGTGACCAATTCGTTCTCCCTTCACATGACAACCTTCTCCGCCGATCACACACTTGAGTCTGCACTCTAACCAGTGATTGCATACACCTAAGAGTCATTTTTGCCCGTTTTCGGGCGTTATGTCCTCTTACTACTGCCTGCAGCATTACAACCCCCTTCAATGCACCAAGAGCTTTTCTTGCCTGTCCAAGAAAAACACATCAAAAACTGTTAAGACTAAAGGTTGGACCTCTAATCATGTGTCCATGCTGCAGGAGTGCAGGGCAACTTTCGGGTTTTGTTAAGTCCTCCCGCTCTAGTCAAATATTAAAATACAAACTAACATATAAAACACAAAGTTTATCCAAATAACCTTTTAAAATATATAAACTCAAATCTTTAACGACATTATAGCGAATTTAACTCAAACGAGCAATCAATCAGACTAATACAACTTAAAAACAGCACACTGATTTTTATGATTGAATATTACCAGGTATCCCCTGAAAGCTGTCTGAATAGAAATAGCAGCATGCTGTTGTTTGACCAAAAGGAAAGGTCTCGTGAGCCGAATCATCTCAACGGCTGCTTGTGCGGTTGCAGCCACGGCCTCGGCTGCAGCTGCTGTGGCCATGGCCATTGCAATGGTCTGCTTTTGTCTGCATGACTCATCACCATCATCAGCATTTCCTGCAATAGGGTTTACTCCATTTCTTTCTGCAGTAATTGTTTCATGGACACCAGCTAGTTTCCGAGACACCCATCTCCGCTTCCCTCTCTTCTGCAAATCAATTAAAGATACATGAAACCGCTGTAACTGGAAAATGAAACTAATATAAGTACTTACTCAGTCAAATAACCAATGTGGAATGACTAATAACCTTAGTTTCTTCCTCTTCTTCTTCAAGTTCACATTCATCTCTGCTGCTATTGTTGTTGCTGCTGCTGTTGATAATTTTCTGGTTATCTTTGGAAGGCGATCTGAAAGCCTTTTTTACCAAATCTAACCAAGAAGACCCTCTTCTCATCTTCCCCATTGGTAAATGCTAAGTGGAGGTTATCTGTATATACTAGTTAGCTATATATCAGAAAGCTTCTAAGTAGTTCATGGACTTTGCTATTCCTGATAATATGGTTGAACTTCAAGGAAAACAGAATATGTACTTATGTTATGAAGAAGACATAGAGAGAAGAATCACTTGAGCAAATGAAACTAGACTTTGCAGAATGTAACATTACTAAGGAAGCCTAATACCCAAAAGTCCCTATACAGATATAGTCACATATATATGACTATATGTCTATATGAGTATCTTTGTTCCTTTTTAATGATGAGATATTCTTTTTTTTTGGACAAATGATGAGATATTCTTTGAAAAATGATGAATTTATTTTTGAAATACACTGATACAACAAAAAGATATCTTAAGCACGTAATTATCACTTTCTTACATTTTAACTAACATTTTTATGTGTCACTCAAAAACTTACTAGCTAACTTAATCCTTTTAACTTTTACAACTCATATTCTATCCTTTTAATTTTACTGAATTTGGCCTGATTGACCCACCTGTAGCTATGACATTCAATCTTTGTCTGAAGTTGTTTCCTACTTTATTCACCTTGGTTCGAACCAAGGCTAACATAAAGTGTTTCTTGTTGCTTTAGTGATCCATACGTTCCTATTTGCAATTGGATAGCCAATTAATTAATTAAATAACCATCCCAATTTTTACTTTTCATAAGTATAGTTACTCTGAAAGATTAAACATCTATACGGTGTTCTATGTGTCTCGGCGACCAATGATCCTCTCTGCGCTTATTAAGGCACTTAGGTATTCCTTTTTTTTAACGAGGTTTAATAAGAATATTGTTTACCAAGTATTTTAGAATATTTTTACAATAGAAACAACTCGTAAAATAATTCACGGTTATTGGTAACACTAAAATTAGTTGAAACGGCTAAATGTGCTGAAATTTATGAAATTCAAACTACAATGGTTGAATTGTCTAAATCTGCATACTAAATTATTAAATATTATAATCAAAATATATTTTATTAATAAAATTAAGAAACTATTACATGAAAAATAGCTAAAATGATTTTCTACCGTAACTTCAGCCACTTCCGTCAGAAAAATAACGACAACCTTACTTATTTTGATTATTACACAATTCAGTGAGCGAAGTCAAAAACTATGTATTTGGTTAAAATGACTAATCATGCTGATAAGCTGAAAATAGGGAGTACTGATCATGTTCCTAGTATATTCTCTTTTTACTAATTCATTTATCCTATGTCTTACCCTCTATATTGCACCAACTATTTTCTGCTTAAATACCTTTTTGTCCTATAAAATTTGGTCAATTTTGACTTGCACATATATATAATAATAAAGGTGAATATTACAATTAATGTAGAAAATATAAAGGATCCAACGGGTCAGGAGTTATGATTCTCATTCAATAAACGAATAGTTCATAAAAAAGAATTGTAAATGAATAAATTCATCGTTCCAAGTCCACTAAAAAAAAATCATCGTTCCAACAGCATGTTGATGCCATATGCTTATGCCAGGATTCTGTCAAAATTATGCCTCCTCGAGATGACCAAAAGCTGCAGAAAGAAGACTTATACGATGATGAAGCTTTTTCTTTTTGTTTCTTCCTCACTTTTCTTTTTATTTTATTCAATTTCTTTTATTTTTGCCGTTCCTGGAAAAGCACGCCTGACCATGTTCGTTTTACGAATGAATGTTCATTTTTGGTATGCAAATGTTGCTTATATTTAATAAAACAATGGTTTAAACATGCCTTTTTGTACATGTCGCTAGAAAATAACATGCTCGAAAAATTGGAGGCTGATTGGCAACATCATTTTTCGGCTTATCAAGCTTATCAGCCAACTTTTTCACTAAACACGTAACTTTTACTTTCGCGCGCTGAATTGTGTAATAAGCAGAAAAAGTAAGGTTGAAGTTACTTTTCTGACTGTATTAGCTGAAGTTACTATAGACGACCATTTTAGCTATTTTTACATATAATTTTTTTTATTTTATTAATAAAATATATTTTAAAAATAATTTTTTACTTAAAACAGCAGAAACAGCCAAAGCAGCCACTTCAGCCAGAACTTCATAAATTTCAGCAAAATCAACCAAAACAGCCGATTTTCGTGCTACCAAACGGGCTCTTGAAGTAATGTGGTATAGTGAGAAAAGCGTCCCAAGTACGAGGTGTTGATAGCTTATTTATAAAAATTTACAAATTAAGTGCTATGTGAGCTTGGCCCAATCTAGAATTAACATTGTCGCTAATTGGCCAGACGGCCCAACCAATGATTAAATAATTCTAGATCGATTACTGCTAGTCAGATTGTGTTATGAGCTTGGTCGGGTCAAAGCTCTGGTGTAACGGGCCGATAGTCTTGGACTCGGCCCATTATCCCAACATGGGTCCCCCACACTCTTAGTCAAGTAGTAGACTTGACTAAAAGGGAGTAGTTGAACTATTTTGGAATCAGTGTGATTGCTGGTCTGGTCAATCGGTCATTAAACTGCCTTGAATTTAATCTCATTTCTTGTGAAAGGGTGGAACTTTCCCTTTTTCGACCGAGAGACCTCTTCCTTTGTTCATGATGATGAAGTGCCTCGTTAAAATCTTACTAGGAAAAAACTCGGTGGGAAATAATCCTAATGAAGGAAAAAGAGTACAACAAGGCCTCAAGATAAAATAAAGGATGGTTAATCCCCTCGATTTTTGATTGAGTGTCCCCTTTGACAGTAAGGCGGGGTATGCTCAGGAGTGGCCGGTAACATAGTTGCCCACTGATGATGGTGAGAAGAGGTATGCTCCGGAATGGTCAGTCTCATGACTATCTGCTAATGATAACGTGTCGAGGTATGCTCAGGAGAGGCCGGTTGCACATTTGTCCACTTTGATCCCCACTGCTTGTGAAGGAATGGGGTCTCCTTCGTCTAGGTAGCTTTCGGGGTCTTGTTTGTCCGATTAGCAGCCTAGGTTTTTGTTTGTCCTATTAGCAGCCCGGGGTCTTCTTTGTTCCGGCCCAGAGATCTCTTCCTCTATTCATGATAAGGAGGTCCTTTGGTAAATCCTTACTAGGAAAAGAATTCGTTGGGAAAAAATCTTAGTGAAAAAAAAAGAGTAGATTGGATGCTCCCAAAATGAAGCAAAAGAGTGAGCCCTCCGACCACTATGTCCAGCTGCAACGATCGCCATCTGCTGAGGGGATGGTCGTGATCTTTCTTCGCTTATGAGCGATGCTCGTGTGACATGTACAGAAGAATGTGGTGAGTTACCCACCATGATATGTAGTGATAGCCATCAAATAAAAATGGTTAAGAGATAGATCGAGCGACCATCTGTAGTATGATCCTTGAGTCATCAAATAAAGATGAACAATGATATATGACCAAGGGGCTTGTGTGAAATCTAGGTTACTTGACATCCCATCCGGAGCCCGTAAGATTTCCGTAACAGTGTGCCATCCACTAAAGCAGTGCTTGAGATGGCTCTTGCGATGAAGAGATAGTCGCCACCCATGAAGGCGGCAGGCGAGCCCGATCATAGGATCAATATGACGACGGTAAGTCCAGTCGTGATGATGACACGGATGCCGCTCATGAATCTGAAACAACGGTCATCATCCAGGTGAGAGAGGATGTGACCAATCTTTAAATGAGAATGATTGTGTTGAGCCGGTGCCAATGAGGACAGTGGTCATCATCCGAGGTTGAGGCGCAGAGAAATTCATCCTAAAATGAAGACAATGTGATGGAAGTTTTTCATTAGGTCAAGTTACGTCGGCATTGAAGGCCCGTCATAATATGAGGATTTCAGTGCTGAGGGGCCGGTCGTCATATAAACACGACAGGTGCCATCCTGCAAGGGAATGTGAGAGCCCAATTGTGTGCATATCGGAATATGAGATTAGACTGTCAATGTTATTTGACCTGCAAGCTTCCCAAGGATAGATGTAAGATTCCGGTTTGAGAGCGGCGCTTAGAGATCTTCTTGATGCAGGTCAAGAGAGTGGTGTTTGGGAGACTCATTCTTTGCAGTTTATTGAGTTAGTGAGAGAGTTCTACTACAGGCCCGCTCATTCATATTGGTTATCAAAGGGTTTCACGACCTTGTCTGGGTGACCTTGTCTCTGCACAGCATGGACGACGAGCTTAGTTGGACCTCCAATTTTCTTCATTTTGATGACGGTTGTTGATGAGGATGGCATGTGGTGATTGCATCCGGGCTTCCAAGCTATGCATCGATCTGCGCATCTCCAACGTTGCGAGAGCATTGCTCGATCGCAGGTGGTTTGGAAGGATGGACAATCTCGCTCTTTTACAAAAACTTGGCGAGATACCAGGATGGCGAGCTTGACTGAGAAGATACATAAGTAATGGGATCTCCACCTTAAAATGGCCTGTGTGACAGGCCATGATTTACCGGTGGGCACGTGAGACCCGATCTCGGAGCTAGAGGTGGACTCTCGCCCATTGAGGAACTCGTGCATAAGCTATGCATAGCCATGCACGTGGAAGCTCGATATAGGGATAATACTGCACGTGCAATCTTTGTTTAGAAATAACACTCCACGTGCTTGGGCCAAATATGAGTATGTGCGAGCCGAAATGGATGGTGGGGTGTTGATCACTGAACCCAGGTGTGATGAGTCATGACCATGTACTTAGTTTGAATTTCGAAACCCATTAAAAGAGAGCTTGAATTGACACCGGACAACCCAGGCCAGCAGTGGGTGGAGAAAGCAGAGGATGCCTTTAGGCTATATGCAAGTTGCCATAAAGTTGAGGATCATAGCATTCCTGAGCTTGGCTGCGGCCAAAAACATGAAAGCTCATCTGAGCCAATTAAGACCAACTGGAGGCGTCATCCCGAGATGTAAGGCCTCAGGCAACTGTAGTGTCCAAGGCCTTCCTAGTGGCTACGTACCAATGAGGGTCGTGATTGGCATGGAAAGGAGATCATGATCTCTTTTGAATGTGGTCGGCATGATATGTAGACTACATTGTATGTGAGATTGTCATATTGTCTTCCCGGCTTTTCCCCCGAGAAGTTTGGTTCATATGGGATCATGTTTAACCCTTATGAGGTGGAGATTGTGAGTAATTATGACGACATCAACACTTGGTCTCCTAGTTAATTTGCAAGTGGACTAACCAAAAATCTGCTAGTGGGGCTGTGTTTTGAGCTTGGTCGGGCCAAAGCTCGGGTGTAACGAACCAATAGTCTTGGACTCAGCTCAATATCCCAAAATGCCCCATACACGTTGTTTGTGAAGACATTTTTCTTTGTGAAGCCTGTCTAGAAACAAAAAATAAAAATTCCCTATGAACAAGCTTTAGAGACAAAAAGCTTTAGAGACAATGTTTATGAGACATGTACAACAAATAGAGTTGTATATTTTACACCCTATTGTGGTACAAAAATCTATTGCATATATTGAGTTATACAAAGTACAATATTGAAGGAAGTATGAGTAGGTTGTTCGTCGGTTCGATTTCAGTTTTATCAGTTTGGTATTACAAATAGTGAAAATAAGAATCACACTGCAAAACCAAAGTCGGTTTTGATCGATTAATATCATTTTCGGTCGATTTTAGCACGTTTTGGTCGATTATTGTCGGCCGATTTCAATTTGGTCATTTTTTAACCCAAAAGTATAAATCATAAACCGAACCGCCAATGGAGTAACTGTTGGTCCCGGTTTATATCGGAGAAACAATCTGGGGGGTGAATATACTGTTCTTGGTTTCTCTATTGTTGCGAGACAGAAACTGTCTATCTCACAGAACTGACGTTGTTCTGGTCAGAACAGACCTGCAACGGAAATGGTAGTTCTGGTCGGGCAAAACATGTTAGGTAAATATTTCTTTAATATCACAGAAACATAACATGATAATGAATAAATAATTGGATACAGGAGTCACAACTTCTAATGTGTTTTCGAGAAAATCTCTAAATTTTGAAAACCAACAAAAGTCACTCATATGTAACATAAATTATTTTAGTTTTAAATTAATTTGTCCTTCAATTCTCTCTTTGGTAAAATAACTTTAATTTGTCTAGGAAATTAGTATCTCAATTAGAGATTTTTGGTTTTGAAACAATAACTTTAATTTAACAAATAGGGAAAAAATATTTCCTAAATTAGAGTAATAATAATACGGAGTATGATATTTCAAAATTGTACTATATTGTTTCAAATGCAATATTCATAATCATAATCATAATACTATACCTAAAGGGAGAATCCCATCTCCAAGAATTTCTCGCTTTTCTATCATATTCAAAATCCATCTTCACCTAAATTAGTAGTAACGATGCTAAGCTAATTATATTAATTATTATAATAATGTATTATAACTCAATGCTTTAGTCATATTTAGTTCCCGTAAATGTATGAAAGTCACCTTTCAATCAAATCATATTACAACACACAGAAGCAAATCAAGTGTTTCATATGCTAAGCATCCTTCTCCAAACTAAATGTCGGGCTATTAACATATATCCAAAACAATACTTACTATACATAAAGGGAGAAACCCATCTCCAAGAATTTCCATCTTCTCTCTCCTATTATTAGTAGTAATAATGCTAATTATTATATTAGTAATAATAATAATAATAATGTATTATTATTAAGAATAATATATATATATATATATATATATATATATATATATATATATATAAATTCTTTAGTCATATTTTGTTCCCTTGATGTATGAAAGCCATCTTTCAATCAAATCATATTAAGAAGCAAATCACACGTGTTTCATATGCTAAGCATTCTTCTCCACAATGAATGTTGGGCTATTAACATATACCCAAAACAAGACACATAAAATGAGACGAATGTAGTAGTAATTATTGCCCACCTTCGCCCCTTATCTTTCTTCTTCCATTTTATTCAAAACCCATCTTCACCGTGACCTTCAATCATCATCTTCACCATTATCATCTTCTAGGATCTAGAAAAATGAGTGAAGTTCGAGAGTCGCCCGAAGCTAAGGTCATGGAAAATCAAAGATGAACACTTGATAGAAATTTTACTTGTGTGAAATTTTATAAAATTTCTCTACATAAAAAAGTGTCTATATACAAACAATGCTTTCTTTCAATATGTATGTATACAGACAAAACGTTGCAGAGAAGTGAGGGTTAGGTTTGCACGTAAACCAATGTATGTGTACATAGACAAAATATGTATATGTACAAAAAGTTTTGTCTATACACAAACAACTCGTGTTTGTATGCGAGACATTAATTTCACTACTAGAATTTTTGTCATTTGCTGCACCCCTTTTGCTGCGGTTATAGGCTTAACCGCAGCAATAAATGAAAATTTTGAAGTATTTGCGGCACTCTAACATCAACCGCAGCAATTACACCCAAAAAACTAGACTATTTGCTGCGGACGTTTAGGAACCGCAGCAATTAACCCGAAAAATTGGAATTACGCGGCTCAAATGAAATTAGAAATTAAAATTATTTTAACTTTCGCTGCGGGCGTTTTGTAACCGCAGCAATAACATTAAAAATAGGATAACCCTCACAGGCCACGGTTTCAGCAGATCCGGGCATCGATTATTTCTTCATTCCGGTCGCAGGCCATCGTCGTTCCAGCTGCACGTCACTGCTCATTGCCGCCGTCTGTAGTGTAGGAGAGCCTCGCCGTCGTTCAGCTTCGTCGTTCTAGCCCGCCGTCTCCAGTAGTACGTCCGTCTACTCCGCTCCTCTCAGCCGCGGCCGTCTCCATAGCACACCACACTCCGCCTCCGCCTCCCAGTAGAGTCTCCATACTCGTCTCCACCTTCTCCGGACCTTGTCTACTCAATAGAGGTTTATTTTCTAACCATTTATCATATCATTCAATTTATTGAATTTGATCAATTTTTAGGTTATTATTTCTGTGAATTTATTGGTAGAATTGATTTTTATGTTCTTATAAATTGAGGATTTTGGTATTCAAGTAATCAGATCACTTGTTTTTTGCTTTTGGAATCTTGGAATATTTTTGAGGAACTCCCAGTTGGTCTTTCCACACAAAACCAAACAGAAATAAATTTAAACAAAAGTTGGGAAATGAATGAATATATTCAAAAAAAACTAAAAGGATGTAGAAGTATAATAAATTAAAGTAAGTTTTTTGTTTTGTTTTAGGAAGAATAATAAATTGTTAGTGTGATTAATTACTACCTGGTGGTGGTGATGGTTTGGCCAATTGGGAGGATCAAGATAGAGCATAACAAAAGAGAAAACCATGGATGGGAGTGTGATCTTTAATTTTTCTAGCTTTTTGATGTATGCCCTTGGGCGGACTTCTGAAATAAATTCTCTTTCTTTTTAAATTAAATGTTGTGAATTGATGAGATTTTATGAGATATAAGGAGGAGAATCACATCAGGCAAGTAATTGGAGAAGAGAGATAAACTAAAGCAATTCAAAGCAATTTGTGTGTGCAGATGCCAGAGAAAAGATCAAAACAAAATTGAAATATTCATTGCCTGCAAAGGAGAGGCAATATTCTGTATATAGTGGATTTCAGGTACATGTTTCCCTCTAATGACATACCCATGCTCTTCAATCACATCTTTTCTAAAGTGCCTATTTTGAGTGGCCATTTGCCAATTTTTATTATGTGTTCATAATTTACAGAAACTATTCTGATCTAGCAATGTTCTAATGGAAGTTCTCAAACTTTGGTGCCATTTGTATTTTAGGATGTCACTCAGATGTTTTCCAAATAATATGGACTTTAGCACTGTTACAAGCCTTAGTAATAGTACCTGAACTTCTTCTCACACACTCACACTGTGACACCGCACCCGAACGTCCTTGAAAATTTCATTCTTAAATTCAAAGTGATGTATTGAATTTCCGATTTGAAAACAATGGAAAAACGATTAATATTTTACGTAGCACATGATTGTATATTTGTATTGTTCAAACCCGTATTCTTTCGTAATATCCATCAAGTAAATTATTGGGATGAGCCTACACATATTGGAGATCAATAATGTGATTTAGGAAGTTGACTTGTTCTAAATAAATTAGGATGAGTACAAAAAGACATCTTTTGACAAAGATAAAACAATAGGACCCATTTTCCTCATTTTTGGAAGTATTGGTAGATAATTTGAATCCAAAAATGATTGGGATCAATTGGGAACCACTCCACATGACATTAGTACCTGCAAGACAAATAAAAATGGGTTAGGAAACTTACCTGGGCCGACCACCATGGAGAGGAGCTGCACAAGACTTGATAGGAATCAAATTTTGGGGCCACCACCACTGTTTTCGCACAAACAGGTGTGCTGTTTTGTCTCCCTTCATTTTGAGAGTTGTACTCGTCCAAATGAGGTGTATAAGGTGTCATTGGATAGCCTTTGAAGTCTAGTTTCATAATTGAGTGGCCACAATTCGAGAGGAGAGAGCAATCATCCAAAAATCGATCTGGAACGAGCAGAGGTCTGTGAACTCGAGCTGTGAGAGTGCTGAGACTGTTTGGTCGATATCTTGAGTTTTACAAATCCAATTAAGGCGTGTGAGATACCCACAGAAAGCTCTCAAGACGAGGAATCCGTGAAGGTCTGGTTTGCAGGAATCGGAGTTGTGGAAGGCTTCCAAATCGTCCGAGAAAAACGCAACCTCGCAGGAGAGGATTTAATCTTCTAAAGTGAGTTTTAACCCCAAAGCTTTACTTTTCATTCTCCAAATGATATGAACGATTGGTGAGACTATTATACACTAATCCAAGTGTATAATATGTCCTTATAAAGTTATTTTATTGATGTAAAGGTTAGATACTAACCTAGATGCAAATATTGGAAAACTAGGAATCGAGTTAGCCGGAAAACACCCGTTCTAGGGGCTGTTTTCGTATCAACGATTAAGGGTTGAACTAGCACTTTGAGGAGGCTGTTTAACACTCATATTTGAGCAAGGAATCAGTCCCAAATCCACCTTGACCAAAGATTTGACCATTGGACCAAGAAGGGAAAGTTTAAAGCTCAATTGAGGTGAGGATTGACATCTAATTGCTTACAACTTGTAGGTTAAGCATGAGATTACCTAAATGCTTAAATCATGATTTTTCATGGATTATGATGATTATATATTGATGAAATATTGATATAGTTGCCAAAGAATGAAATTTGAAATGATTTGAGAAGGCATGAATGATATGAGATTAAATGAGTATAAATGAACTATTTGTGAAAATGGGCATTTTTCTCATGCATGAATTATGTGGATACATAAATGAATATTTGTGTATTGAGAATGAATGTTTAAGTTGCTGCTACATAATTATAAATATGTAGAGAATTACAAATAACAAGGATAATGGTTTGATAACAATAATCTTAATAGTATTGAAATACTAGTTAATGATTATTGGGATTTATTGATTAAGTTGATCCTAGGGATTGGATTGTATGAAAGGTGCTTGAATATAGTTCAAGTGTATATAATAACTTAGTATGGAACTAAGGTTAAGTTATGGGAAGTCTTTAAGGATGACCCATGGTAGTTTAATGATATGTCAATTCTAGGCATAGGGTTGCTTGAGAATTGGACCTTAATGCATGGTGATGTGGTAGAGCCGAGCTCTAGAATGCATGTAAGGTGTAGACTTGGAGTCTATGTATTGTATAGCTAGAGCCGAGCTCTAGGACTTGCGTGGTGATGTGGTAGAGCCGAGCTCTAGAACGCAAGGTAAGGAAATTGACCCGAGGTATATGAATTGTATGGTGATGTGGTAGAGCCGAGCTCTAGAATACAATGTCATGTACTAGGGTTGGACTCTAGGAGTTGTCGTGGCTTATAGTCACGGGGTTGGGAATGGTGATTTCCAAATGAACATGGGCCCACGGGCCGTCTACTTGACTTTTATATAAAGTAAGTATATTTTTAAACGGGGTAACTTAGGGTTACAATCATAATGTACTATCACCCTATTTGAGGGTCTTGTGTTTGAAATACTTGTTGTATATCTATTAGATGCCTGCCACACCAGTACTTTATAGCCGTATAGAGTACTGACCCCTTCGGGGGCGTCCCACCACCATTTCAGGTTGAGGCTAGAGCTTGCTTCCTGTGCTCGTTGATCGAGTGATTCCTTGGAGAGAAGACTTGGTTCGTGCTTCCTCCATTCTGTTTTTAAATAATATTAAACTTGCTCATGGATATTTTACTTTAGAGCCTGCGTGCTCATGTTTGCCCTGTGTGGCCCTTTTGTTTTAAACAATGTTTTCCGCTGCGTATTCAATTGTTTATTATGTATGTTTATGGATGACTTATGTGTGAATGATATTCATGACGCCTTGTATAATATGAATGTGTTGGACTGCGGTTGACTATTCGTATTTTACGGCGGGTTGTTGACGTGTCCGGGGAGGTCCGGGGCGTGACAATTAAGTTGGTATCAGAGCCTTAGTCCATAAACTTCATAATGAAGTCTCAAAATTCTCTTTTTGAAAAGATTTTGAAAACCATGAGCATAGAAGTTTTGTACTTGGAGAGCTTTTGGTACTTGGGTTGCAAGGTCTCTAATTGTTAAGATGGTACCCTTAGCAATTGGTATGGCGGTGACTCGAGCCAAGTGTGTCTTAAGTACCTATCCGTCAATTGACATTTGATACGAGTCTAATGACTCTTCCCAAATTTCTTTCAGAAATGGAACGTGGTGGCAGGATTACTAGGAAAAACCCGACGGGCCGTGTACCAGTGGAGACTGGACAGGGCAGTCGAAGGACCTCTAGAGCATCTAGAGGAGCTGGCCGTGGAGGCCGATCACAGACCGTGAGTGACGGTCATGTTGACACAGAAAGTGAAACCTACTGGTCCTATGAGGACTCGACTTACCAACCGGAGACCGAGCCGGTTGAGACCCCTTACGAAGGGGATGACGATGATATAAGTGATGAAGAAGGGGAGAATGACTCCCTAGTCAGAATTGAGGCACTGCTCCAACAATACCAGCGGGAGCGCGAGGAAAGGAGGGAACGCCGAAGGCACCGAGGAGGGCGAACTTCGGGTGGGGCTTCAAGAGGAAGAAGCCATGGCGACTCTAGGGCCCACATTGAACCACATGGGGGCCGGGGTGATGGGGGTCCGATCATAAGGATCTCCAAATACCTCAAGGAGGCACGAGACTTGGGGTGCAAACCCTTCAATGGAGCGGGTGACATCTCGATCGCCGCGGAATGGATCAAGAGGTTGAACGAAGCAGCCCTTGATATGCAACTCACCCCCGAGTTTAAGCTAAGGGTGGCGGTGAGGTTGCTTGAAGGGATGGCATCCACATGGTGGGACGGAGCCAAGGGAAAGTATGGCAATACCGTGACTTGGGAGGATTTCCGACAGGAGTTCTTTGCCCAATACTATTCAGATTTTGAGGTGAACAATAAGAGGAGAGAGTATACCCTCCTAACCCAAGGTGGCACGATGACGGTGAGGCAACTTGAACACAAATTCAGGGAACTCGCGGAATTCATACCGGAGTACATATGTGATGAAAACCGTATGGTGAATCATTTCTGGGATGCCTTGGACCTTGACATACGCGAGAGGGCAACACAATTGCCTAATATGACGTTTAGTCAAGTGGTCGAACAAGGCCTGAAGGGGGAGAAGGAGTGGGAGGAAAGAAAACGAAGGAACGCCGAGGAGGCGAAAAAGAGAAAGTGGGAGAGTCATGGCTCCCAAGGTTCCAACAAGAAGGGGAACCATGGAGGAGGATCTTTCCGGGCACCGCCGCCACCGTCTAGGGGGAACCAAGGCCCGAGTGGGCAAGGCTCGAGGTCACAAACCTCGGTGATAACTCGTTGCAACAATTGCAAGAAGAATCACTCCGGTAAGTGTCGCGACCCCCCTAGATGTTTCCAATGTGGGGATGCCGGACACTTGAAGGCGCATTGCCCCCAGTTGGGTGGGGCAAGGACATCGGGACCAAGTAGCGGGGCTGCGGGAAGTAGAAACCAAGCCGGGGGTTCCCAAGTAACCAGGGGGCAAGGGGGAGCAAGCGCGAGTAACGCGCCGTCCGTGAATCAAGGAAGGACGCAAGCTAGAGTCTACGCAATGACCGAGGCTGATGCTCGGGCTAATCCCGACTCCGTCGCAGGTAATACACTTATTCGGGTCATTTCTAGGCTTATTTTGATCATATACGTCGTTGGGATTGAGTACGGGCCACCCCGGGGTCAAACTGGGTGAGTCAGGCCGAATCGGGCTGGAAACAGCCACTGCTGGCCAGGCACGCCCGCAGGCACGCCGTGCCTGGCATCGTGCCTGGAAGGCAGTGGCACCCGAAGGAAAGAAAAAAAAAAAAAATTTTGGGCCAGGCACGCCGTGCCTGGCGTCGTGCCTGGAAGGCAGTGGCGTCCGAAGTATTTTTTGGCCAGGCACGGCCGTAGGCACGCCGTGCCTGGCATCGTGCCTGGCCGGCAGTGGCACGCAGGGTAAGTTCGTTGCACGCACGGTCGTGCGTGCCACCCAGGCACGCCGTGCGTGGGCCCCAGAACCCGAAAATCGAATTTTTTCGCTCCGTTCTTTTACGTTTGGACCCCCGATTGATTCCAAACCTTAGTATTTACTTAATAACCTCCTAAGGTGTGCAAAAACATTAGAAAATGTATCTCACATGGTGTATAAATGTAGGAACATTAAAGATTAATGGGAGATGTGCGAGAATCCTCATCGATACTGGGGCGCAACGATCATTTGTGAGTGAGGCATTCGCCGGGGGATTCAACGTACCCCTGATACCGATGGCTCAAGCCCTATTGGTATCCACACCCCTAGGGGAAGACATCGAGAGAGATAGCCACTATCCATCGTGTGAGGTGGAAGTGGAGGGTCAAAACTTGTCGTGTGATTTCGTGCCGCTGAGTATGATTGAGTTCGATGCAATCCTGGGTATGGATTGGCTTGAGAAGCATCATGCTAGGGTCGATTGTTACACGAAAGTACTTGAACTCGAAGGCAATGAAGGGGTAACCTTACGCTTCAAGGGGGATAGGGCAAAATCCAATAGTTGCATCATATCCGCTGTGAGGGCTAAGAATATGATGAGGAAGGGGTGTCATGCATATCTAGCATATGTAGTGGACAAAACCAAAGAAGAGACGAGTATTGATGATGTTAGGGTAGTATGCAAGTATCCGGACGTCTTTCCTAAAGACTTACCGGGACTTCCACCCGATAGGGAGATTGAGTTCGTGATCGAGGTCGAGCCCGGCACCAAACCAATCTCCATACCGCCATACCGTATGGCACCCGCTGAACTTAACGAGTTAAAAACCCAATTGCAAGAGCTTTTGGATAACGGTTTCATCAGACCAAGCCACTCCCCATGGGGAGCACCGGTCCTTTTTGTGAAAAAGAAGGATGGAACACTTCGAATGTGCATTGACTATCGTCAACTGAACAAGGTCACAATCAAGAATAGGTATCCCTTGCCTAGGATTGATGACTTGTTTGATCAACTACGAGGAGCAACCGTGTTTTCAAAGATTGACTTGAGGTCGGGGTACCATCAATTGAAGATTAAGGAGGATGACATACCGAAGAGTGCTTTCCGCACGAGGTATGGGCATTTTGAGTTCCTTGTTATGTCGTTTGGGTTAACAAACGCCCCGGCGGCATTCATGGACTTAATGAACCGAGTATTTCACAAATACTTGGACCGATTCGTGATTGTGTTCATTGATGACATCTTGATCTACTCAAAGAGTGAGGGAGAGCATGAGGAGCACTTGATACTTGTTCTTGAGACACTACGGGAGAAGCAACTCTATGCCAAATTTTCTAAATGTGAATTTTGGCTTAAGGAGATTGGCTTTCTCGGGCACGTGGTTTCGGGATCGGGGATTGCTGTTGATAACAAGAAGATAGAAGCCATTACTGAATGGGAGAGGCCAAAGAACGTCAAGGAAATTCGTAGTTTCCTTGGATTGGCAGGCTACTATAGAAAGTTCGTGGAAAAGTTCTCTGTTTTGGCATCGCCATTGACGAAGCTCACTCGTAAAGGAGCTAAGTTTGTATGGGATGACAAATGTGAGAAAGGGTTCATGGAACTAAAGAAGAGATTGACTGAGGCACCGGTACTTGCATTACCCAAACAGGGTGTGGGGTACGATGTCTATAGTGACGCGAGCATCCAAGGGTTTGGGTGTGTGCTGATGCAGGAAGGGAGGGTAATTGCCTATGCTTCACGACAGTTGAAGAAGCATGAGGTAAATTATCCTACCCATGATTTGGAGCTGGGAGCGGTGGTGTTTGCACTGAAGATTTGGAGACATTATCTCTACGGAGAGACATGTCACATATATACCGATCATAAGAGCTTGAAATACGTGTTTACTCAGAAAGAGCTAAACATGAGACAGAGACGGTGGATGGAGTTGATAAAAGACTACCATCTGGTGATAGAGTATCACCCAGGCAAGGCTAACGTGGTGGCAGATGCTTTGAGCCGGAAAAGCTCGTCTGGGCCATTGCTAGCTAATTTGAGGGCATTAAGAGCCCAACTGGAGGTATCCAGCGATGGTGCCTTATTGGCACGATTTGAGGTGAGACCTACTTTACTTGATGAGATCAAGAAGGGTCAGGAAACCGACGAAGAAATTATGAAGATCCGGGAACGCATGCAAGCGGGACCGGTGGAGGACTTCCGAGAAAGAGATGACGGTCTCTTATTATTTCGTGACCGAGTGTGTGTACCGGCAGATGACGAGCTCCGAAAGTCCATCTTAGAGGAAGCTCATTCATCGGCTTATGCCATGCACCCGGGGGGCACGAAGATGTACCGTGACCTGAAGGAGAGTTACTGGTGGTCAGGTATGAAGAGAGAAATAGCCGAATATATCAGTCGATGCCTTACTTGTCAACAAGTTAAGGCAGAGCATCAGCATCCAGCGGGCTTATTGCAACCACTTTCCATTCCTGAATGGAAGTGGGAACACGTGACTATGGATTTTGTGGTAGGGTTGCCACGGACGATCAGGAACTATGATGCAGTTTGGGTTGTTGTAGATAGGCTCACAAAGAGTGCACACTTCTTACCTATCAACACTACTTACCCACTCGAGAGGTTAGCCAAATTGTACACGGATGAGATCGTGAGGCTACATGGGGTTCCAGTGACCATTGTATCTGATAGAGACCCACGATTCACATCACGTTTTTGGCCGAAATTTCAGGAGTCTATGGGAACGAGGCTGAAGTTCAGTACTGCTTTCCACCCACAGACGGATGGGCAGTCTGAAAGAGTCATACAGATTTTAGAAGACATGCTGAGGGCTTGTGCATTGGAGTTCCAAGGAAGTTGGGACAACCACTTAGCACTTGTGGAGTTTGCCTATAACAACAGTTATCAGGCGAGCATTGGCATGCCTCCATACGAGGCATTGTATGGGAGGAGGTGCCGTACACCGTTATGCTGGGACGAAGTTGGCATGGCCAAACTCGAGGGTACTGAGTTGGTTGAGGTCACCAAATCAAAGGTGAAATTGATTCGAGAGAGACTCAAAGCGGCTCAGGATAGGCAAAAGAGTTAAGCAGATAAGCGTCGAAGAACCTTAGAGTTTAAGGTTGATGACGAGGTATTCTTGAAAGTTTCTCCTTGGAAAGGAATCATTCGATTTCAAACCCGAGGGAAGCTTAACCCACGGTACATAGGCCCATTCAGAATTATAGAGAGGATTGGGGCCGTTGCATATCGGCTACAGTTGACTCCTGAGTTAGAGAAGATACATAATGTGTTTCATGTATCCATGCTTAAGAAGTATGTGCATGATCCCTCTCACGTATTGGAGAAGCCACCTGTAGAGGTACGTGAGGATTTGAACTACGTTGTTCAACCTATCAAGGTCACCGATAGAAAAGTGAAGAAACTGAGGAGCAAAGAAGTCCCAATGGTTAAAGTCATGTGGAAGAGCGATCGGATCGAGGAAGAGACATGGGAAACAGAGACTTTGATGAGGAAGCAGTATGCTTTCCTATTCGAGTAGAGCTGTGAATTTCGGGGACGAAATTCCTGTTAAGGGGGGGTGAACTTGTGACACCGCACCCGAACGTCCTTGAAAATTTCATTCTTAAATTCAAAGTGATGTATTGAATTTCCGATTTGAAAACAATGGAAAAACGATTAATATTTTACGTAGCACATGATTGTATATTTGTATTGTTCAAACCCGTATTCTTTCGTAATATCCATCAAGTAAATTATTGGGATGAGCCTACACATATTGGAGATCAATAATGTGATTTAGGAAGTTGACTTGTTCTAAATAAATTAGGATGAGTACAAAAAGACATCTTTTGACAAAGATAAAACAATAGGACCCATTTTCCTCATTTTTGGAAGTATTGGTAGATAATTTGAATCCAAAAATGATTGGGATCAATTGGGAACCACTCCACATGACATTAGTACCTGCAAGACAAATAAAAATGGGTTAGGAAACTTACCTGGGCCGACCACCATGGAGAGGAGCTGCACAAGACTTGATAGGAATCAAATTTTGGGGCCACCACCACTGTTTTCGCACAAACAGGTGTGCTGTTTTGTCTCCCTTCATTTTGAGAGTTGTACTCGTCCAAATGAGGTGTATAAGGTGTCATTGGATAGCCTTTGAAGTCTAGTTTCATAATTGAGTGGCCACAATTCGAGAGGAGAGAGCAATCATCCAAAAATCGATCTGGAACGAGCAGAGGTCTGTGAACTCGAGCTGTGAGAGTGCTGAGACTGTTTGGTCGATATCTTGAGTTTTACAAATCCAATTAAGGCGTGTGAGATACCCACAGAAAGCTCTCAAGACGAGGAATCCGTGAAGGTCTGGTTTGCAGGAATCGGAGTTGTGGAAGGCTTCCAAATCGTCCGAGAAAAACGCAACCTCGCAGGAGAGGATTTAATCTTCTAAAGTGAGTTTTAACCCCAAAGCTTTACTTTTCATTCTCCAAATGATATGAACGATTGGTGAGACTATTATACACTAATCCAAGTGTATAATATGTCCTTATAAAGTTATTTTATTGATGTAAAGGTTAGATACTAACCTAGATGCAAATATTGGAAAACTAGGAATCGAGTTAGCCGGAAAACACCCGTTCTAGGGGCTGTTTTCGTATCAACGATTAAGGGTTGAACTAGCACTTTGAGGAGGCTGTTTAACACTCATATTTGAGCAAGGAATCAGTCCCAAATCCACCTTGACCAAAGATTTGACCATTGGACCAAGAAGGGAAAGTTTAAAGCTCAATTGAGGTGAGGATTGACATCTAATTGCTTACAACTTGTAGGTTAAGCATGAGATTACCTAAATGCTTAAATCATGATTTTTCATGGATTATGATGATTATATATTGATGAAATATTGATATAGTTGCCAAAGAATGAAATTTGAAATGATTTGAGAAGGCATGAATGATATGAGATTAAATGAGTATAAATGAACTATTTGTGAAAATGGGCATTTTTCTCATGCATGAATTATGTGGATACATAAATGAATATTTGTGTATTGAGAATGAATGTTTAAGTTGCTGCTACATAATTATAAATATGTAGAGAATTACAAATAACAAGGATAATGGTTTGATAACAATAATCTTAATAGTATTGAAATACTAGTTAATGATTATTGGGATTTATTGATTAAGTTGATCCTAGGGATTGGATTGTATGAAAGGTGCTTGAATATAGTTCAAGTGTATATAATAACTTAGTATGGAACTAAGGTTAAGTTATGGGAAGTCTTTAAGGATGACCCATGGTAGTTTAATGATATGTCAATTCTAGGCATAGGGTTGCTTGAGAATTGGACCTTAATGCATGGTGATGTGGTAGAGCCGAGCTCTAGAATGCATGTAAGGTGTAGACTTGGAGTCTATGTATTGTATAGCTAGAGCCGAGCTCTAGGACTTGCGTGGTGATGTGGTAGAGCCGAGCTCTAGAACGCAAGGTAAGGAAATTGACCCGAGGTATATGAATTGTATGGTGATGTGGTAGAGCCGAGCTCTAGAATACAATGTCATGTACTAGGGTTGGACTCTAGGAGTTGTCGTGGCTTATAGTCACGGGGTTGGGAATGGTGATTTCCAAATGAACATGGGCCCACGGGCCGTCTACTTGACTTTTATATAAAGTAAGTATATTTTTAAACGGGGTAACTTAGGGTTACAATCATAATGTACTATCACCCTATTTGAGGGTCTTGTGTTTGAAATACTTGTTGTATATCTATTAGATGCCTGCCACACCAGTACTTTATAGCCGTATAGAGTACTGACCCCTTCGGGGGCGTCCCACCACCATTTCAGGTTGAGGCTAGAGCTTGCTTCCTGTGCTCGTTGATCGAGTGATTCCTTGGAGAGAAGACTTGGTTCGTGCTTCCTCCATTCTGTTTTTAAATAATATTAAACTTACTCATGGATATTTTACTTTAGAGCCTGCGTGCTCATGTTTGCCCTGTGTGGCCCTTTTGTTTTAAACAATGTTTTCCGCTGCGTATTCAATTGTTTATTATGTATGTTTATGGATGACTTATGTGTGAATGATATTCATGACGCCTTGTATAATATGAATGTGTTGGATTGCGGTTGACTATTCGTATTTTACGGCGGGTTGTTGACGTGTCCGGGGAGGTCCGGGGCGTGACACACACTTACTGTTTTTCTCATATAATCTCAATGTCATTAATATGATGTAATGTTTTGTTTGATGTATCAGGCAGTTGATGTGAACTCTGAACTCATTTGCATCCATGACTCTGCAGAAGATATTGATTGACAAGGTTTGATCAAGGGTTTTTTTGTTAACTTTTCCTGTTTTATGTTTTTTTAAATGATGTTTTGTTTTCAAAATGTAAAACCTGCTTCATATTTGGCAAAATACTTTATACTCCGTATGATTTATGTTGCTCCTTCTGGTCCTCTATAAAGCCTTAGTATATGTGTTAGGTCCCTGTTTTCTAGTCTATAAAATGTATGTATGGAAGATAGATCTGGGAATGAAGCTTTCCATTGATGTGATGAAGAAGTTTACAGAATGATATGAGAGTTAGCGTAAAACTTCTATCACGAGAATAGGCACTGCGGCACTAGAATATCGAAAAGCTTAACCTAGCCTTTCCCTTAAGGCATATATATAGCCTGACGGGAAAGGTAGGTTTTACAATCATTTGGGCTCCTTTTCCTAGGAGGCCCATACCTAAAAAGGTATAAAACCTTTATTACAAACTTGCCTTAAAAGGCCTATTCATTATTCTAGCTAGTCTATTTAATTAAAATCCTAATTATAAAGAGCTAAGAAACATTGATCACAATATAATGAAAATATCTCTAACAATCTCCCCCTTTGTGATCAGATGTTCTTGCTTCTTCTTTTCTTCACTTCTGAGCTTTAAAATAATGCTTTCTGAGATTTAGTGCATGCTCGTAATTTCTGAGAGACCTTCTTCTGTCAAGTTGTTTCTCGATGGCTTTCAACACTTTGTCAATTCTGGTTGCCTCTGTTAGTTCATCGTCTGTGGCATCTGCATACTTCTGTTGTTTTTCTTCAAATTCTTTTCTGATAGGTTGCAGTTTTTCTTCAATGATCTTCAGCGTTCCGTCACAGTACTTGTTGATTTCTTCTGCCACCAACAAACGCCTCTCACCTTTGTAGTTCAGGTAGATGATAGCTAACGGGCGATCAAAAATGTAATAAGCTGGGAAGTTCTCAAGTTCTGGCCCGTAAAGCTTTGGTCTCGAGAGGTTTGTCTTTGGCAGATTGGTTTCTAGGGCCATCTGAAGATCATGGGAAGCAAAGAATTTGGCTTGTCTGATCATGAAGCGCTTGAGTGCCTCGAATCCCTCTTGTGTAGATTTGTCCCAGGTGACTGGAATTTCCTGGAAGGCTAGATACATATGATAGATGTCATCCATCTTTAACATATAAACGTCATTTTCCTTGCAGGTAAACTCAGTCCCGTCGGAGCGTTGCAGGCGGTAAACAGAGAGTGGGATGTCTTGATAATTTATTTCGGCTACATTTAGTATACTCCATACTGGGTCTTTTGCGGTTTGTAGTTCATGTTGCCATACTTCTCTCTGTTTCCCCATGTAATGATGACTAAGCAGAAACAATTGACCACCCTTGTTCTTTCCTCTCAGATGATTGAGTCCACAGATTTTCAATTCGTCCAATTCCTTGACTTCGTCATCTTTCCGCCATATACGCTTTCTGATTTCCTCTTGGAAAGGAGCATTGATGTTAATATTCTCCCAAGGCTTTTCACTCCTGGGCATTCGAGCCGCTGTTTGTCTGATGATGGATTCCAGCTCCTTGGGAGGTTCCTGATAGTTTTCTCCTTCCTTAAGTTCATCATCATTAAGCAGTATTACATCAGCAGCACATTTAGCTAGGAGCTCTCTGAGATAGGCTCTTCGCTGTATTTCATCTACATTCGTCCATAGCCGAGACCACTTGTTGTGAACAAGAATTTCTTCGAGTTCGTCATGCATTCGATCATCAGGTTGGCTAGAGGGAATCTGCTGCTGTTGTGGCGCTCTGTCAATGGTAACTCCGGGATCACTAGGATTACCCGTTATCATCAGATTAGAACTAGGTTCTTTCTGATGGCCTGAATAAAATGGTGTACTCGAAGTAGCAACCTCAGGACTTCCACTCCATCCTTGGTCTACATCTATGAAAGATGAGCCTAGGAGTGTTGTTTCTAGCTCGACCGGGCTAGATGTGGGTGAGTTGGCTGTTTGGCTTTTGTGTTGAGTGGATGGTGGGGGCTGATTGTTCGAGGATTCAGGTTGATTGGATTGCATAGAGGGTTGGCTTGTTGACGCATCACGCTCAAGTGTCCTTTGTCTCTTGTTCTCCCCCTCATGAGGATCCGAGTCATCGGGGTCCTCATGCGAACGTTTGTGACCGAGGAGACTATCACAGCATGAGCTGTCAGGCTTAAGGATCCGAAGAAGGTCTTTTTGTTTCTGGGTTAGGTTGCCTTCTTCGGTAGCTAGTAGTTGGTCTAGCATAAGGGTTTCGAGTACCTCAAACGGTAAAGTTTTAGGGTCAGGAAAAGGTGTGGTCGAAGTAGGGGAGGACACTAGTTCTGTATCCTGGGTTCCCCTTGAAGCAGTAGGTGAGTGGGGTAGGGTTGTGGATGGTTCAGAGGTTTGTTGGGTAGGTATGATAGGAAGTGGTTGGGTTTCTTGGGTATGTGAGGATGTTGGTTGGGGTTGGATGATGTCATTTAGCAACGCCGGGGTGTTCCTGAATTCCTGTGCCCGGGCGGTTATTGCTTCGTGCACCCATGGTTTAATGGTGGAATCCAAGAAACGCTGCAGAATGACAGAAAGGTCGGTGGGGTCAGGGTGTCCGGTTACAGGGGTAGTAACCGTTGTCACAGCATCAGTAAAGATTACCGATGTGTGGCCTGCAGATAATGATAGAGATATCTGTTGAGCAGCAGGACTTCCGATCATCATTGACGTATCTCCGATCGTTGAGGACAAGTAGAGTGCACCTGTCGTGTGCAGTGGTGTGAGCAGTGTATGTGTCCTAGAAAATGTGGAAAATGTTGGGATGGTGGAAACTAGACTCAATGTGCTAGAAGGAGGGGTTGTGGTCTGGGGCGGAAGACCACAAAGTAAATCCTCAGCTGCTTCGTAGGGAGACAGCGAGGTGGGTATAATATCCCCTATATGTGAAACTACTACCTGTTGGGAGGCAGCAGAGTGGCTAGGTGAGGCTTGTGCATGCGCAGTTGGGCTAGATGCTGCGTCTTCTACTCGGAAACTGAAAATATCAGTTTCTGCACCTATGGGGTTAGCCTGGTTTATTGTGTCTAGGTCAGAGCAGCTGTCATACAAAGCTAACTCTTCCGCCAGGTTGCTCGCGGTTTGCACTCTTTGCACAGGAGTAGATGATGAGGCAAGATCATGACGCACCTTGGAGCGAGTCTCACTGATGATATTTCCTTGAGTGTCCTTGATTTGGTGAGACTGCTCTTGTGTTGTAGCCCGAGAAAGCCTGATAACAAGTCGTCCTTTCTTAGCGCGGGCTTTCTCGACTTTCTTGCCCTTTGTATTGGCGTTGTCGTCGTCCTCATCATCATCATCATTATCGTTCCTAGCCTTGCTCCCAGAGCCCTCATCGTCAGCGTCTTGTGTTGTGGCTACGCTTGGCGAATCATAGGAAGTCTCTTCAGCACGGGGGTGGCCCTCAGCAGACATAGTCTGATCATCATGGGGCCGGCTTGCCACTGGTCTCTGTGGCCGGGTTGAGCTCTCAGGACCCTCACTTACTCTCGGCTGACTCCCCGGGGTAGGCTCAGGGGGGTTTATCTGAGCCATAGGGAGTATGACACCATTCTCCTCACTGTAGCGTATGACATGTGGATCATTTCGCCCAGCTAACAGGAGGAGAGGAACAGGAATAGGTAATGGTACCAATGTGCGTACCTCTGGCATTCTCTTCAAGTATTGGAGGGCTGGAGTGCTGACATTCTCAGACGATTTGCGTCTTTGAATAGTAGGAACTGTTCTGCAGAAGTGTCGCACCAGCAGGGAAAACCATCTCATGTATGGTAGATGTTTGATCAGATCAGTTTCAAATTTTCTTCTTCGCATTTCCAGAATGTCACCCCAGATTAGTGAGGCGAAGTCATAGTTCTTCATGAAAGCGATGCCGTGAAAGATGTAGACGAGGTAGCCACTGCATTTGTCGAAGCCGTTGTGCTTAGATGTGCAGCACTTGTTTAGTGTGGCCATTAGTGTCCTCCAAGGTCGTGGAAATCGTGCGGTCTTGATTGCAGACATCAACCGGAGGGGCTCAGCGTGGCCTAGAGTGATCATGTCCTCAAAGATTTGCGTTTCTGAGGCCAACGCGTCATAGTGTTCCTCCTCCGGGATCTGTAGCACTTGTTGGACCAGCGCTTTGGTGATGGTGACTCTTGTGTTGCAGATTGTGGCAGCTAGCACATCATCGAGTTGCCTGCCATTTGCATCCACGTCCTTGTCAAGTGTACCCCAGAATTGTTGGAGATACACCTGAGGGACTTCAGCGTTTGCGTTCAGTGCCTTCCACAGCTTGTGGCCTTTCAGAATGGAGACCACCACGTCATCTTGGCATGAGAAGACTTCGGGGTCCAACTGTGAGTTGTTCTCCTTGATCGGGATCCAGTGTTCCCTTGAGTAGATCATGTTGATTGGAGTGTTGGCAGCCATTTCAGTCTGAAAATGATAAACAGATTAGTGCAATTGATCAGAAATTGGTTAAGTCCACAATTTACTCCTCACTTGGGCCCTTTAATGTTTTTTTTTATTAAGTGGGGCCCGATTAAAAATGATTATTTGTCTTGGTCAAAGTTGGGCCTTGTCTTAATTGTTTTTGGTCCACATGAAAAATTTCCGCTAAGGGTCTATTTTGGGCTGGGCTTGTCTTAAGATCGCGCAAGCTCAACTGAATCGCGCAAGGACTTGGGATAGCGCATGTCTGATCGCGCAATGGGGAAAAACACGCAGGTCATGGGATCGCGCAGAGTCAGATCGCGCTAGTGGGGAAGTCGCGCAAGGTTTGGGATCGGGCAAGAGGACAGATCGCGCACGAGCCCTAATCGCGCAAGTCATCGACTTCGCGCAAACCTGGCATATCAAACAAGGATTAAATCGCGCAGGGCTTGAGATCGGGCAACTGAACAGATCTCGCATGAGCCCTAATCGCGCAAGGGTAATCGCGCATCACCCCCAAGATCGCGCAGGGCAAAAATCGCGCAATGGAGTTCGCGCAAGTGTTTTA